GACGACATGCTATACTATGACGTTTTTTCATGATTTCGGAAGACATGCTATACTATGACTTTTTTACATGATTTTTGACAACATGCTATACTATGACATTTTTTCATCATTTTTGACGCTATACGATACCATGACATTTTTTTTTAAAGATATTTTTTTGGGCATTTTTAAGCCTTTAATGTATAGGACAGACAAGTGTGAAAGGGGGAGAGAGAGAGAGGGAGTGACATGCAGCAAAGGGCCACAGGCTGGATTTGAACCCGGGCCGCTGCGGCAACAGCCTTGTACATGGGGCGCCTGCTCTACCACCACGCCACCAACGCTCCAATACCATGACATTTTTAATGAAATTTTGATAACATATTGTACTATGAAATTTTTGTGAAATTTTGATGACATACTATACTATGACATTTTTCATAATTTTTTTTATGACATATTATACTACGATATTTTTTAGCCAGCTGTTACCGTAGCACATTAATGTGCATTATCTGTGGAAATGGCACATTTAACAGTCACATATAGGTGTAATGTTTAGGTGTCCACATAGTTTTGGCCATGTGATGCGTTATGTTTGTGTTTATCAGACTGCATGTTTAACCCCTTAAAACCTTTAAAAAGCTACAAAAATTAAGTAAAAAAATCCCCAAAACATTCGTGTTGTCTAACACTGCACATCAGACAATACACAGTTGTAAGTACTTACAGGAGTCCTCAATCTTTATGAGGGGGTTCGTCAAGATGGGTGTGATGGGTGCTGAAGGGACAGTCTGAGGTGACTGAGGGGGGGTGACAACAGGGGAGGGGATGGAGGGGCTGCCTGAGGTACTTCCCTCTGCTTCCTTCCCCTTCTCCCTCTACAGAGGAGCCCCAGCAAAGGAAATGAAAAGCATGCAACAAAAATACACGTGATGGCATCAACAGAAATCAAAATGCAACATAACCAAATGAACAAACAAAGATAATGACATCAAATCAATGAGTAATGATAAAGTCAGCAGGATGGACAAGATGAAAGCTTCAACAAAAGAGGGAGAAAAGCACCAAACTCAGGGAGGGAAAGATGAGATGAATGACGTGGCGGTGCAGTTTAAGCTCTTAAAATGGCTGTTACTGTGTGTGACATGTGGGTAATATCAGTGTTGATGACTTAACTTTGAAATGTTGCAGTGTGGGTTATAAAAGGTCTACTGGCCTTAACAAAACCTAGCTGGTGAAGGCTGCAGTGCAGAACTCGCAATCAAAAAAACAAAAGACTTAGCGCCTGAAAACTTTTGATGTGAAATCTGTTACAGACGAATGACAAAGGTATTGTTTCTGAAGTAGGTGTGAAATCTGTGAACCACCACAACAAATCAGCTGATTCTATTTCCTGCATTTCTATGAATTAATATCAGTCTTAAGCAATGAATAGAATCTTTCACCTTATTCAATATTTTGCACGCTGCATTCTCTTCGTTTTAAAAACCTCACAGCTGTCTTCATTTATAAACAGATATATTTTTCATATTTTAATTGCAAATTTTTACTTTACATTTATAATTCTTAACTTGACGCACTTCATTAAATTTAGCACAGTGTTAGTTCAGACAGGAAACAATGTCAGGCTCAGCTCACATCCCAGCTACATCAGCTGATCTTCAACTGATGGATCAGCTGATTGATGAAGGGAGTCAGCTGATAGATCACATGATTCCTTTCTATGCAATCAACTGACAAATCTCATTCAGGGCGCCCTTTTTAAACTGCTCTGGCCTGCCTAATGTTGCTGCTTCCTCTGCAAGCTGCTCTGCAACCTGCCTCCACCCCAGCTCCTCCTTTTCATGCTGTGTCTGACTCATCAATGTCATTTCTGTTTGTCACTGATGCTGCTCTGTTCTGATCCTGGGGGCCTTTGCTGCTGCTCTCTCTGCCTTAGGCTTTCCATGTAGGCGCATGGAAGGGCAGAGAGGCCCCAGAACAGAGCCATATCACCAAATATAATACTGCAAATGGAAATAAAGTTTTCTTTGACTAAAGCGTCCCTGACTGAACTTCTTTTATCTTACTATGTTTATTTACACCGTTACACACCAAAATACAAAAGAAAATTCTTTGTATGTGAACAACTTCTTGGCAATAAAGCTGATCCTGACTCCATCTTGCTTTGCTAACAATGCTAATCTAACTATAAATGTTAGAAAAGCTGTATAAATACCACACATTTAGTTTCCTTGATACAACCCTGATATCATTTCATAGTATTTTATTTTGTATTATAGTAAATAATCACTACAGAGGTGACTGTCCTGTGATGTCTTATCTTTGACATTGATTTCTGTTGAATCTATAAAAAATATTAAGTGTAACCAAAAAGACAGATTTTCTTCATGGAAAAACTTTCAGAGGATGTGCATGTGCTCATTTCAGCACTGAGCACTCTTCCTTAAGCTGCACACAACCTCCAAAACAGGCCAGACTGTATATCTAAATGATCTGCTGCTCGTGCTGTGTTTCAGCTACTGCAACTTTTTGTAAAGACGAGCAAACTCTGCAGCTTTTCAGATAAAAGCTTTGGCCATGAAAACAGTAAAACTGGCAGGATATGATCAAATGAAAAAGGGCAACAGTGACACACTAACAATCAAAACTCAATCTTGTGTTTTCAACATGGAGTTTGGTTGTGAGGCTTTTACCTTTCTCTGTCCACCTCCGGGGACGTGGCCGATGTTGTCAAGAGAGCCGATCTTAGACTGAACTTTGAACTCAAGCTTCTCGTTTTTGATCTCGATATTTCCACCGCCTGATGAAAACAGGATATACAGCACCATCTTTAATAGGTTAAAGAAATACACAGAAACGTGTAAAAGTTTCAACATGTCGATTATGTGTTTGTTCTTTTTTGTTAAATCAATAAAGAGAGAGATGACTTGAGAAGACAATATAAACAAACATTAAGAGGCTTATACAGTAAAAAGCTTAAGGTCAGTGGTGGGAGACATCCTTTTTATTTGGTTTTGCAGGACATCACAAACACAGACGTACCTGGCTTATGACGAATGTTGTCTTTCGATCCACATTTCGACTGAACGTTGGTTAGATCGATCTTTTTGTGCACAATCTGAACCTGTGAAGGAAACAAAACAGAGAGCAGAGACACACAGCTTTAATTTAACAGTAACACACGTCAGCGTAAACTCAGACTGCATGCAACTACAGAGAAACTACACTAGAGACTTTGCCTGTTAGTCTTCTACAAGGAAGGAAACATAGTTTAATAAAACACTACATGACACGCATGAAGACAAACTGAGTTAGATATTAAAGAATCTGTGACTGTTCTTTATAAAAGAAATGATCCAGTCCATACTCTGCATTCTTTAGCTGCTCGTGTTGACGTAGATAAGACGCCATATTTCTCATCACAGTGTCTCATCTCTCCTGTCATGGCCGATTGTGTGGTAACACAAAGCGCTCAGTCTCTGAGCTGAGGTCATCTCAGTGCTCGTCACAGCAGGCACAGTTTGGACACAGACTCTTTGTTACTGAGCAGAATCTCCCTCTGCTTTATGACACCATTAATGTCCTTCACCACGAGGGAATTAAAGATTTCTTTTAATGCATTTTCTTATCAGATCTTGGGACCTGAGGCACGGACGAGTTGGAGTCAAAACTGGAACACAGACAGGATTCATGCATCTTTGTTTTAGGGGCCAGTTTGGGTGCTAAAACTTTCTGATCACAGTCAAACTGACAAGCACAGATTCAACAGAGTTATCAGGCGTACAGAAGACCATGAGCATTGCATAACGCTGTTAGCACTGTTAGCACCACGAGCACCAAACCAGTCAAAAGACTCCAGTTTATAGACACAAATTAAACAGTCAGTACAGACAAAGAGAAACTACTGTGGAGCAAACAGCTCTGCAGCTTCTCTCACTTCTCTTAAATCAAGGTTGAAGACGTATCTGTTGCTGCTGCCTTTTATTACATCACATATTTACTCATGTCTTGCACTGTCATTTGTGTTATTCAAATACTTTTATTGATTTTAACCGCACTGCAACTTAATTCTTGTATTTTTATCTTTGCACCTCTTGCTTTTGCTATTTTTAATAGTGATTTTTTCAAGTAAAGGTCCTGCACTGACAGTATTACTTAAGTAAAAAATTTTAAAAAAGCAGACGTATTTAAGGGGAAACTCTAATTAATGTAGCAAGCAAAAAGTACAATATTTAAATTTAATAAAATACAGAAAAGTAAGTTAAATGTGTATTTAAAGTACTGGAGTGACTGGTCACGTTGCAGCGCTGCTCTGTGGTTTGATGTTGCTCTGTGGTTTGGTGCTGCTCTGTGGTTTGATGTTGCTCTGTGGTTTGATGCTGCTCTGGTCGTCAGTATGAAATGCTCAGGCCTGTGTATTAATGATAAACCTGTTAATAGGAGGTGTTAACAGTGCTGGAGTATCGAGGTCAGAAGGGTTGAACACACACAGGAGGTTTTTCGTGCACGCTGACATCCTGCTGCTTTGTGAGGATGCATTCAGGAGAAGCAACAAGAAGGAGGGTTTTTGGCAACAGCTGCATACCTGCAGCTTGCCACGGGCCAAATCCCTTATCTACTCACATTGCCACCACCGGGTACATGTTTTATATTATCTTTGGAGCCACATCGGGACTGCACATTGCTTAAGTCCAGCTTCTTATCAAGAATTTGTACCTGGAAAGTTGATATAAAAGACGGTTATCCTGGAGGAAGCATCAGCAGCAGAGCTGCGAGTGAGGACCAGTGCTGGAGAGGAAATTAGATGGTGCAGGGACCAGTTAGAGGCTCGGGGGAGCGAGGCCTAACAGGGAACGTGACTGATTAAAGAGGACGGGGAGGGACTTGTGTGATGATCTTAACTGCAGAGATACTCAAGACTCTCCAGATGAGGAGATTCCTCCTCACTTCACCACCTGCGGGTCCATGTTTGACACTGTCTTCAGACTGCACAGCACTATAATCCCCCGTCAGGTCAAGTGTTTCAGAGGTTTTTAAACTGTGAGCTGTGACAGGTCACGCTCTGATGACACTTTAAACCCGTTAGCTCCAGATTAGTGTCAGAAGTTTCAACACAGACACATAATACACACATTTTTAGATTCAGCATGACTTGCACTTTTTTAAGGACATTATTATCTTCAGTGTCAATCATGACTACACATCCATAAATCAGCTTAGAAATGATTAAAAACACACTCGTTATAACTGCAGAACCTGCCTGAGAATCATCATCATTTTAGGTTTTCTTCAGTATCAGACTAGCCGGGTGATAGTTACCTGTACGTTCATGAGTGCACTGCACACAGGAGCTGCTAATAGCTGATTCTGCATACATCAATAATGCCAATTTGCAAAACTCTCACTCATCTCTGGGTCATAGCTCAATCAGATCTGAACACACAGATTTAATACATATATTTTTAGACTCAAACTTTCTGAGGACATCGTTGTTGTTTTCGATGTCTGTCAGTAAAAAATGTCCATAAATCTGTTTAGAAAAAGACAGTCCTTAACTGCACAACATTTTTATGTTTTCTTTGCCACCAAAGTAATCCAGTAACTGTTGTCTGTGCATCCATTAGCACGCTGCAAACAGGAGCTGCTAACAGCCACATCAGCACACTTTCAATAGTGTCAATTTGCAAAACTCTATCTCCTACGCTGAGTCATAACTCCATCAAATCTGAGCACAGACATGACACATACATTTTTAGTTTCAACGTGAGTCACACTTCCTGAGAACATCATTTGTCTCCGGCGTCCAACATGAACAAACGTCCATGAATCAGCTTCGAAAAAAGGACAATCCTGAACTGCAGAACTTCATCATCATGTTTTTAGGTTTTCTTCAGCTCCAACGAATTCCAGTAACAGTTGTCTGGACATGTGCGAGTAGACTACAAACAGGAGCTGCTACGAGCTAATTCAGCACGCTTTTATTGACGTCACTTTGCCGAGATGTCAACAAATTAATGCTAAAGAGACGAGGTTAGATATTTGTGTTGAAACACACAGCCACAGTGTCAGAGTTTAAAAACCCCAGAAGTATTTACACCTGGAGGAATTAAAGCCCACTCTCCATTTGAGGGTTGGTTTTGATGATCATAACTGCAGAGACACTCAAAGCTGGTGTTGAGTTCATCCCTTAAGTTACTCACATTGCCGCCACCAGGTACATGTTTCACATTGTCTTTGGAGCCACACTTAGACTGGACATTACTATAGTCCACCTTCAGGTCAAGGATTTTAACCTGGAAATGTGCAGAGGTAAGGGGAGGAGACCGTTACGCTGTGACACTACTGTAATTACAGGAAGCCTTCTGTTAATAAGAAAAATTAGCGTTGAAGAGATGATTGCACCAAAAATGAAGTAGCTTTACTGTATTTATAAAAAGATACAGTTCACTATCTGAAGAGGACTGACATGATGCATTGTTGAATTGTGAACTTTCCTCTACTTGTGTCAGAGGCATCATTTACGTGAGCTCAGAAGGAAATACAAATTAGGAAAATGACATCAGAAGTCAAACACAAGACTCCTCACCTTGCCTCCACCAGGCGTGTGCTTTATGTTGTCTTTAGATCCACAACGAGCTTGGACGTTGGCCAAGTCCAGCTTCTTATCGAGGATTTGGACCTGCAAAGTGCGGGAAGACAAATAAAACTCCTGATCAGAACAGCCTCAGCAGGAAGGGATCAGACCCAGAGGAGGAAATAAGATATTAGAGGGATGAAGACTCAAGACATATTAGGATTCATTTCATTAAAGATGACATCCATAACTTTTTATGTTTGTGTTATTGCTGTTTCAGCTGTTACTGCTGCGGATATTAGTGCATAAAAATATAAATACTGTGCAAAATGTGACACTTCAGGTGCACAGCTCTGCTTTAAGATGTTACTGAGACCCAACAAGCTGTGTTTTAAATCAGAGGAATACTGGAATCTCCAAACTGGTTTTCTGTCCTTCATCACACACAAATGACCAAATGAGTCATATAATAACTGATAAAATGTTAGACGCAGTGGGCTTTTGGTTAAAGCTGAGGTAGGCAGTTTAATTATGGCATCACTGGGCAGAAATCCCATTATAAACTTTGTGCATGTTGTAATTCATGTAGTCTGAGAGAAAACTTCTGCACTTCCTCTCGGCTAGACGGCAGATTTTGGCCAATCACAGGTCACTTTACAGAGAGGGGGCATTCCTATTGGCTGTGCTACAAATGCACACGCACATGCTCGTCCCTTCGGTGAAAGCCTGATGCAATGGTGTATAATCTTGCAGAGAAAGTTGCTATTCCAGCATTTGCAACAATTGCCTACACTCCTCTTTGAGTTAGCTGCTAACAGATACTTCGGTGGCACGCATAACACACCACCAAACGTCACACCAGTCCTGTCCTGCCAGCCGTCCACTTTACACAGATGTCAATCTGGCGCTGTTTCTATCTCTGATATTAAAGGTTAGACAACTCTGTCCCCCTTATTCTGCGATCATACCTTTAATACAGAACTGCGAGGTGCAAAATGTCCACCTTGAACAGGCTGTGTGAAAGGGTTGGACGATAAATTAAGTAAAACACGTGTCAATATCAGTTTTTTGGAGATGGAGAATCAGTGCGTCCTCCACCCCACTCCCAGCTGCTGCAGACCACCTCGCCAGGAGGACAGCAGGCAGCAGTTTGAGAGATGGACCTTAGGTTGGCGGCTGTAGTGGTTTGAACTGGGGCAGTGCAACCCCCCCAGCAACGGGTCTAACCTGTGTAACGGCAGCAACAGAAAGTTTGCTGATCCCACGTGGAGTTGGGGTTGTGTAATTCTGGCTAAAGCCTCGAGTGACATTGTGTTCTCTGTCTCACTCACCGCTGCTACAGAGAGATGGACCCCAAGCCAGCAGCCACAGCAACCCAAATCAAGCCAGCGCAAACCCCAGCTGCTGTGAGCCAGACCACTTTGAGTCCCTGCTGGATCAGCAGACTTTCTGTTGCTGCTGTTACACAGGTTAGACTCGGTACTGGGGGCTTGCGCTGACCCGGATCAAGCCACTACAGTCGTCAACCTCAGGTCCATCTCCCAAGTTGGTGAAGACTCTGAGTCATCCAAGTCATGGTAATCTTGGCCGTTGGCATCACATGTGAGACGCTGACCCACCGGCCATCATGTGTGTCTGAAGGTCAGAGCTCTGACCCCAACAACTCTGTAAGGGTTCACACCCACACAGAGTTTAAAGCCTGTGACTGAAGAAGCCTCTTGGATGAGAGGTGAAACGTCTTCAAGAAACTTAAGCAAGTCTAGTTGCCTACGATACAGCACTTAAGATTGTTGCACTCAAGTTGCTGCCTGCTCTCCTCGAGGCAAAGAAGCACGTAGTGGCGGGCAGTGAGGCGGAGGGACGGTGGCTAATGTTAGCTAGCTAATTCATTTGTGCTTTGATAAACAGAGAGGAAGAGCAGGGCAAGGAGGGGCTGAGCACATGGAGACACTGGGTTACTGTATGAAGTGTGCGTATGGCTGTGGTCATCTGGTGGGAGGGGCTTAGGACAGAGAGGGAGGAGCTGCAGGAGGAGGGCGTGTTTTCAAATTCTGCTGTTTAATTCCAGATTGCTGCCTACCCCAGCTTTAAATGCACCGGAGCTTTCAGTAAACTAAGAGCTAGGCCATCTTCTTTTCATGGTTTATAAAAATGGAGAGCAAAAATAAAAAGAGCACTTTCTTTTTTGTTTTTACCAAACGTTGGTTCTGATGATCATAACTGCAGAGATACTCAAGAGTCTGGTGTTGAGTTCATCCCTCAGTTACTCACATTGCCGCCACCAGGTACATGTTTCACATTGTCTTTGGAGCCACACTTAGACTGGACATTACTATAGTCCACCTTCTGATCAAGGATTTGTACCTGAAAAAATGAAAACGTCAGCTTTTAGATTTCTGAGTGGAGACGATGGTTTGACACATGAGTTGTGAAGCCTGAGAGAAAATGGAGGCTACTGATTCAGAGACAGCTGTTAGCTCGTGTTGTGTAACATGCAGGTCAAGGTGATATCATGTCAGAGAAGAAGAGAGGGGGCCACTACAAACTGTTCCTCTCATTTCCTGTCGGACCAAACACAGAAATCGCTGTATTCAGTGATGAATATTTGTCTCTGTTTTCATCTCTTCTTCTCTTTAATCTATCTGACATTTAAACGTCAGGAACATAAAAACTCTTTAAGTTAAATGATCTGATTTTGGTCCATAAATATCACAAGATTTCTCTCAATTTCAGCAGTAAGACATCAAACACGTGACTGCAGCCTCCACAGAATTAGAACAAAGACTTGGCAGAGATTTTAATGCAAAAATGGACCACACACACACACACACACACACACACACACTGGCACACACACACTTAAAGCACACTGTCCTATCTATCAGACAGCACTTGAAACATCAGAAGGCAGATTGGAGTTTGATTGGCTGATTCAAATATCAGTGGGTGGAGCCAATTTTGAAACCTTTAATTGACGAAGCAGATCCAGAGTCAAAAGTAAAGAGGTCACGTGTCACTATGGATGGCGTCACGTACACACACAGCATGATGCACATGCAACACACATTCCTGCTGCCAGCTTCATGCTATTCTGGTGTCCCACATGTAATGTAGTATGATCAACATCAACTTTTATATCACGGTGTACCTTGAGTCTGGAATATGGCTGCAACCATAGCGCAGTGCTTTCAACTGTTGTGCAGAAGAAGTGCAGCCCTAGTTGTATTAATGTCATGTGTCTTTTATCAGGTAACGTCAAACACTGTGAGCTGTCTGATGATAAGTGAGAGGTGATGTTGAGTGTCAGTAGACGTCTGGATCTGCCCGTCAATGTTCAGTCTTTCTACTAAGATTCTTTCTGCCTCTGAAGCTGGAACTAAACCTCCACCCTGCAGACTACAGCCGAGGCTCGGCCTTCATGCAGTATGAGGTGCACCAACAGCTGGAGTCCCAGTCAGGTTACCTTTCCACCTCCCGGCTGGTGTTTGATGTTGTCTGTGGAGCCGATCTTGGACCTGACGTGCTTCAGGTCCGGCATGGGCGCCGCAGCAGCCAGGGGGGCCGGCGAGCGGGTCTTCAGCGAGCCCGGGGATTTGGGTGTAGAACGCACCACCGCGACCTTCTTCACTTTGCTGGCCTCGGCCGCCGCCTTCGCAGACAGCGCTTGGCTAGCGGGAGATTTTGGAGTGCCAGGGCTGCTCTGTCCACTCTTATCTTAAGCAATCAGAGAAGTGACGGGTCAGAGGTTTTAGACACGTCAAACAGTGAAAGGAAAATAATAAATGAAAATAAAAGACTAGGAGCTCTGGTGACTAGGAGCTGACCAAGTTTGATCCAGGACTGGATCAGACTGTGGCGTGGTGGCCATGCGAGGCTACAAGTGACCTCTAATGATTTGTGCGTTTCTTTTTTTCCTTTGTTTTACCTTTGTCATTTTTTGGAGTGGGCGGTTTCTTGGCACTAGCTGCATCACAAAAAATATGACACATCATAAGTGATCCTTAAATTGTTCTCCTTATAAAAAACACAGAAATGAAAATAATTCAAATTAAATGAAGAATAAATGTTGCGTTTCGGTTGCGTACCTGGTTGAGCTGCAGTTCTGGCAGTTTTGGCTGCTGGAGTTTGAGACTTGGCACCAGCTCCACTCTGGAAATCAACCAAACAGACGAAATGGTATTTAGTTTTTTGCAGAGACTTTTAAACCAGAAAGCTTCTTTTATTCAAGTGCGAGTGATCAGATCACGTGTGGAGACAGTAATCACACAAATGTTGCTCTGATCTGGTCGAGCAAATGAGTGATTAACTGTAATGAGTGATGAATGGATGAAACTTTGCTTCATGTTTATTGTGACAAACAAAAGAAGAAATCAGCGCAGGTTTGGATGCATCATTATTTCCTTCACCTCTCAGACAGACAGGACAACTGAGCATCCATCGATCCTCTTTCAGAACCTGAACTCAGGTCTGAGCTCTCAGGTCTGTACTTACTCCGGGCAGCCTGGGCCCCGTGCTGCCGGTTTTTATGGGGATGGCGCTGGGGCCGTTTCGGGAGGAAGCGTGTGTTTTGTTGCCCTTGGTGACTACAGATGGTCTTTTAAGGGATGAGGTTGGTTCGGTGGCAGTTTGAATCTTTTTCATGAGGAGGGAAAAAATGAATGAAAAAGGAAAAGTTCTAATGAAAACGAACATAAAACAGAAAAATGATTGAACAAATGAAAAATGATGGAAAAGAATGAATGTGAACATTAAAGGCTTAGTCTGGTTTACTACAACTTGGGTCTTAGTTTTATAGTCTTGGTAGACTTTTTGTACCACTTTGGAGCTCAGCAACACCACAAACACAATGTCTGACGGGAAAAGAAACACACAACAAATGCTCCAACTGGTGCAACTGAGCATTTTAACATCTTTTAGTTCATTGTTTTGGTTTTCTGGTCCAGAGCTTTACTGTTATGCTTCACTCTCAGCGCTCTCATGGCGTCATTTTATGGAGAAAAAGCTCTAAAAAGCCACTGTACACTACCTACTGGGTGGGAAACAGCAGACAGAAACAGACAAAGAGACTTGCTGGTGTGCACAGTAGAGCATTTAACAGCTAAAGAGACAGATATTTCCCTCAGGAGCAGGCGGAGACCAAAAACAGAACTAAAACAGAGTCAATATTGGTCTTACATTCATCAGGTGGACGCAAACACAAAGACTAATGAATCATCATGTTGCTCTTTAACTCCTGGATGTGTAAATAAACAACTGTTTGCTAAAGAGTTCAACAAAACAACTGAAGAGCCCAAAAGTGGCGGCACAGTGGTGCAGTGGTTAGCATTGTCGCCTCACAGCCAGAGGGTTCCAGGGTCGAACCCAGGGTGGAGGAGCCCTTCTGTGCAGAGTTTGCATGTTCTCCCTGTGTCAGCGTGGGTTTCCTCCAGGTGCTCCGACATGTTCTCCCTGTGTCACGTGCAGCGTCATCAACAGCCCCTCCCGTTGCAGAAGGCCGCCTTGTTCTGTTTAAACCAAAAAGGTTCCACCAATATGTCTACCCTACGAGGTGGAAAATCGGGCACCTTGATCAACTCGGCAACCCGGCTCTGTGTGTCTAAACGGCCCAACATTCGCTGAGAATCTGGCAGTGTAAAAGGAGCTAACGTCTCAAACTACGAGCAGTCGACCAATCAGAGATCAGTTTAACCAGATTATCTGAGGCAAACAGTGAAAATGAGGAAATATTCTTCACTGCACAGCAAAACGTGTGTGTACAAACTACAGAAAGCTTTGTTGGCCTTCATTTTCTCTTCTAAAAATGATTTTCTAACCTGGAGGTTTTAATACAGCCCCTGACTCAATGTGTCTCGCTGCAGTGTCGTCACGTCTCCAGATCAATGGAGCAATAACTGATAGAAAAGATGGACAAAGCTACAAAAACATGCTCCAAGTTGTAATAAACCAGAATTATGCCTTTAATAAAAGAAACGGTGATAATGCTCCTGGTACGTACCTTATCTGCAGAGCCATTATCCATCTTTGCTTGAGCTGCAGACACAAGAGAGAAGCAGATTATGAGATTTTAAATTTGATATTTCTCTTTTTTTTTCTTTATTTCCACCCAGGTGAAATAAATGATTTTGCTACCAAGTGTGTGCCTGAACACATTCACATGGCAAAGAAATGAAACCAAATCAAATGTTGGTGTTATGCAGCATGCATCGTGACACAAAGTGCTCGTGGAAACCAAAAAGTGGATTTTTTTTTTTCAGGGGGCCGCATAACCAGCAGAGTGAGCAGAGATGGAGACATGAAAGAAAAAGTGGGGAGGGAGGACAACAAGCTTCTCCTCGGGTCAAAGTTAACGTCCAATAGAGAAAAAAGTCGGAGGGAGAGTGCAGCATGACAAACAGTAGAAGCTGCGCTGTAAAAGAAACAAGTGGAAGGAGTTAAAACTGAAGAGGACTCTGAAGTTTGGTGAACATGACAGCAAACAGACCTTTGAAAACGGGGACTGGCACCAAAGACTTTCTGGCTGCGGAGCTTTGGGGGGGAGTTTTCTGGAGCTCGGCGGTACCGGTGGTCTGAACCACACTCATGCTCCTCATGTCTGAGTCATTAGAAATGTCAGGCTTTGAATGGTCGGCCCTGTGTAACGATGAGTCACTGCTGCTGTTTTCAGCTGCCGTGTCAGTTGGCATTTTAGTTAAAAGGCTCTCGTTCTCGGAAACGTTCCTGCTGCTGTGAGGATCTTCTGAATGAGAGTCAAAGCGTGACAGACTTTGGGTGTGTTGTGTTTCTGGGATGATTTTGGACTTTAGAGCGCCTCCATCTTGTTCAGAGATGAGCTCCTCTACTTGAGTGAAGCTTCTGTCTCCGATGGATGTCAGGTCTTCCAACGCCGCGCTGCGAACTAAAGACACCCCGGACAGATTGCTTATTTCAGTCAGGCACTCTGAGGCATCCAGGCTGATGGCCCTCTGAGAATCCCCGGCTCCGGTCCGCTCAGGGCTCCTCCCGCCGGCCGGTACATCCCGTCTTATCTCCGCCCCGCAGCCGAGGTCTTCAGAGGCCCATAAAGAGTCACTTAGCCTCTTCCCACACTCCTCCACCGCCTCATTTCCTGTGTCCGGGGAGCAGGAAGCTCCCATGAAGTCACTGCCCTCCCCAGCGGCTCCGTCTACAGCAGGATTTGACCCGTCGCCCGCAAACGCAAACTCACTGCAGACTCCAGTACCAGGCTTTTCTAATTTGTTTGGAAAGCAGATTAATGGTGACATTCACAGCACTTGTTTTCCATCTCCCCATTGAAACAAAAAAATAATCAAAGAAGAGAAAAGAACTGGACAAAGAAATGACGTCCGTGAGGAAAATAAAACACACGATTTGAACTAACCAGAAATACTGAGTGAGCTATAAAAGGTGGAGATGCAAGACATGATCAGTGGTGCTTCACATGAAAATAAAATGAGATGGAAATGGACAGTAATGCATCACACTGGGTGACAGACGACAGATGATGCATTCCAGTGAACACAATAAACAACCGACCACTAAGATATTCAGTTTCATCGTAAAGAATAAAAAAGTGATTAAAATAAGAAACAAGTGTTTCCTCCTCTCCTGTCTGACAGTAACATAATGCACCCCCCAAATAACCTCAACTTTAAGCTCTGTTTCTGCAGCTGTAAAAAGTGCATGTTTACAGTATAAAGTCTGGAGTGTCACGCCACAACAATGTTTAATCTATACAGTGTAAAGTAAAAAAATACTTCATGTGTTTTTCATTTTAATGATGTATTAATGAACTCAGAGTAAAAAATATATAAAATATATCATCAGATTTGCAAATGAATAATTATATGTCCTCATCACTACATTTACGTCACAGTTTCTACCTCATCATCGCTTTAGTTTAAAGACTTGTAGGCAAAATGAAGTCCCACCCACAGAGCACCATCAGGAGCTCTGATTGGGCAGACTCCTGCCAACACACACCAGCTGACCAATTAAAGCTCCAGGTGCCAACTCTTAGTTCAAGCGATCGTGAAATGTTAAATGTAAATGACACACATGTTCATAATATTGATGATAATTGACTAACAATATTTTTCTATTAAATAAATATAAGTAAGATACCTATTTTTTAATTTAAAGGAACACGTCACCCCTGAAATGATTCTTTTTTTAAATGAATCATTCACCCTGTGTTACATTGAATCTGTAAAGAAAACACTGTTTTTATCACACATCTCCTCGTGGACAAAGAATCCAAAAACGAAGAAAAAAATTCTTGATGAATTGAAGTCATAGGGGTCCACGTTTAACAAAAGCAAAACTACATCAAAACATCTGTTTACAAACTCTCACTCAACTCCTGCAGAATAATCCAGCTCAGTACTTCCCGAACATGACAGGGAACTGAACAAAAAGTGACACTTATCCATGCTCTCTTCAAAGCCAGACTCCATTTACAAATACAGTAATTGTACCTCCCTGAATGTGGAAGCTGCTGATCTACCGCTGCCGTCATCAGTTAGTCGTTTGCATCATCGTGTGACTTTGGTGAATCTTAACGAACTACTTTGAGGCACTAAAGTCACAAAATAACACAAACAAGCAAACTAATGTGAGCAGCAGCAGATCAGCAGCTCCTGTGTTTAGCAGGGTAAAACTGCTGGTTTTATCAGTGGTGTCTGGTTTTGAAGAGAGCATTGATAAGTTTCACTTTTAGTTCAGTTTCCCGTCATGTTCGGGAAGTCCTGAGCATACGACTGGATAAATGAGACTTAGATTAGTTTGGTGTTTGTTAAACGTAGACCCCATCACCTCAATTCATTCTTTCCATTTTTGTATTCTTCGTTCACTGTGCGGGCATGTGAGGAAAAACTTCTTTGCAAGTTCAATGTAACGTGAGGTTTTAATGGTCATTTTTTATTCAGACTTTTAAAGCTACATTATTTGATTTTCGTTATACTTATTTGATACAAAAATATTGTTATTTAATTACCATCAATCCCGGTTCGAATCCAGGGTGGGGGGCCTTTGCTGCAGAGTTTGCATGATCTCCCCCTTGTTTTCTCCAGCGTCCTCCCACAGTCCAAAGACATGCAGGTTAACTGGTGACTGCGAATGTGAGTGTGAATGGTTGTCTGTCTCTGTAGCCCTTTTTATACAGGAGTTGTGCAAATCTGCAGGAAAGCGCAATCAGTCTTTTTTCAGCATTGGCAGTATAAAAACAAAATCTGGGAGTGCAGCAAAATGCCGCCTACCTACTTTTGTTTATACAGAATGTGCCTTTTTCGGGGCAATGGGGGGCGTGAGCAAGTAACAAAACGTGTAGCTCAGCGTGTGACTTAAACAGTGACGTGGGAGGGAAGCCGCGGCTGGTCAGTCCTTCAGTGATTCTCTCGTAAGTCGGCCCGTTCTTCACCGTCCCCGTCATCTGACGGTTAATGGCCTCTTCGTTTGCGAGGACAAGGAGGGCGCGCAATTCCTTGTCTCCCCAGTTGCTCATCTTTACAGTGTCTGTCAGGTTTGTGTTTCCCTCTTGCTACTAGCTGCTCGCTAATTCCTGCTATCAGCTGTTTCCTGTTTATCCACCACCAGTGGCTCGCACGTGCGGCGTCATCAACAGCTCCTCCCACAAGTCATCAACAGCTCCTCCCGTTGCCGGCAAAACGGCCCAACATTCGCCGACAATCTGGCAGCGTAAAAGGAGCTTCTGTGTCAGCCCTGTGATAGTCTGGTGACCTGTCCAGGGTGAACCCAATGTCAGCTGGGATAGGCTCCACCCCCCCGCGACCCCCAACAAGATAAGCAGTTACAGAAAATGAATGAATGAATATCATTTACATTTAACATTTCATGATCACTTAAACTACAAGTCGGCACCAGGCGCTTTAATTGGTCAGCTGGTGTGTGTTTGCAGGAGTCTGGCCAATCGGAGCTCCTGATTCTGCTCTGTGGGCAGGACTTCATTTTTCTTACACGTCTTAAAAGTAAAGCGATCATGAGATAGAAACTGTAACGTAACTGGAACTGTGCAGCGTAAAGGCATTCGAGAGAAGTTTTCTTCACAAATTCAACATGACACAGAGTGAATAACTGATACATAAAGGATCATTTAGGAGGTGAAGTGCTCCTTTAAAGACTGAATTACGAAAAGGAATTATTAATTGGCAAATTCAATTATCTTTACATTTTGTTTATTAATACATCCTTTAACTGCGCATGTGATTCTAAAAGACTGAATTTATTTATTTTAATTAAACCCTGTTAAAGTCTATAATTATTCACATATACACTGTGAAAACAGATTGCAGAGATCATCTTGTCGTCCACCTGGGGCTCTAAGTGTATTCATATCTATATCTGCTGCAGTAAATAAATACAGCCTAAGTGCGATCGATAGAAGATAAAACCGCCTACCTGTTGGAGCGGCTCCTCCTGCTGCTGCTGATTCAACATGGTGAGACAAACGGAAAAAGACATTAGTAATGAGTTTCTGTCTGTCATGACTGATTAATACGCTCACTCACTGCAGAGAAATCAATACACAGCCCACGTACAGCATGTCTTCAGTTAATGCAGGAAGCCCAAAGCAGATAACTGTTAAATATATATCACTCACAAACAGATTAATATGCAAACGATCAGCTTCCACAGTTTTTTTGTCTCTGAGAGTCTGACATGGTGCAGCTGTACCACACCTAAGCTGCTACTTCAGCTGTTTTTAACATTATTCTGGCGTTCCCCACGACCAGGAGCGCTGCATCTGTTTAACAGATCGCAGGAGCCTTAAATCTGCCTGCGGCTTGGCACATTCCCTTCATTCTGAAACAGCCAGGATGTAACCATCTTTTTATTTTAAAAAAAGGAACATGTTTGAGTCTGTTTATGATCATGGAAGCAGCAGAGTATCAAACATCAGAGCATGCATGGAAAACAAAGAAAGAAGCCAAAGAATAAACCCCGAGAAAAAAAACACTCTTTCCCAATAATGATGCTGAAAGAAAAAGACAGTAAGCTTCATCTCAAAATCAGGACAAACATGAGAGCAGCTTTGTCGCAGAAACCAAAAGGAATATTTCAACATTTATTTGCAATCTTGCAACATCAGAGGAGAAGATGGACACCACTCTGATATCTATATGTTTAATATGAAGCTACAGTCAGCAGCTGGTTAGCTTAGCTTAGCACAAAGACTGGAAACAGAGGGAAACAGCTAGCCTGGCTAAAGCACCTGTTATATGTTGTTTGTTCAATCCACACAAAAACTGAAGTGTAGGAAACAACAAGGTTTAGTTTTACAGAGGAGTTATTTGTCAGACTATTTTTTGATCACCTGGCAACCTCAAGATGACGACAGGGAAATCAGGAAGTTGCTGCAAGAAATGATCTGGTAAATAACCCTCCGAAAATTCACAAATTCAAGTTTTTACACTTCTGTGTTTGTGTAATAACAATCACAATCACAGTCACAATAAATTTCAATTAATAGCCCGGACTATTATTTCCTTAAATCACTAAACTCACCAGGCCTATGTTCTGGGACAGGCTTCTAACTCCTTTCACACGAAACTGTTGCTCAGCAAAGATCAGGAAATGCAATCAAATTGTTTATTTAAAGCAGTGTGAATATTACGTCATCAGCATATCGACAATATTCACAACTTGGATTAATATTTATGAAAAACCCTTTTGCTTCTTTTGATCTGAGGACCCTTATGGACTAAAGGAATGGACACGTAATTTGAGGCAGCAGTCAAAATATTACTGTATTTCCTATCTGATCTATTTTTGAACATTTTCAATAAACAGATTGTGGACAACAAAAGATCTCTACACTCAAGATTAGTGTCAACAATTCAGTATCTGATGTCTCTCCTTCTGTTCCTGAGATACGATGTTAAGTAATGTCCAGAAAAGTGTTTTATGCAGAATTATGATGTCACAGTGATGGTGACCTTTGACCTTTTGGATATAAAACGTCATCACTTGATTATTTTATCCTGTTTGACATTTGTGTGAAGTTTTGTCATAATCAGTGTCTGAATTCTTGAGATCCAAGTGGATGTTTATGTGGAACTTGTGGAAATTCCCTCGAGGCGTTCTTGAGATATTGCATCTACGAGAATAAGACGGATGCAACGTCACGCTGACCTTTGACCTTTGAACATCAAAATCTAATCAGTTCATCGTTGGGTACAAGAAAATGTTTGTGACAAATTTGAAGAAACTCTTCTTGAGACATCAGATTCATTAGAATGGGACAAACGGACGGACGGATGGACAGTCTGAAAACATAATGCAGCCGGCCATGTTTATCGCCTGCGCGGAGGCATAGAAATGATTTGATTTATTGAGAACATAATCAGTAGTTGCAGCCCTGCTCATATGGGCTGCCCAGTGAGCTTTAAGTCCTGCTTCGTGGATTGCTCCCTCTGCTCAGACCCAGGCTAACTGTTCCCCTGTTTCCAGTCTTTATGCTAAGCTAAGCTAACCAGCTGCTAGCTGTAGCTCTGTAGATCTCAGAGGGGTGTCAATCTTCTCGTCTAACTCTCAGCATCAAAGGAAATTTGTATAATTCCCAAAACGTCAAACTAGGAAAACAAGTGAAAGCAGAAGCAGCTGAAAAGACCCCAGGAGTTACCAAGCTGCCCCTCGTCTTCACACAAGAGCTCAGACACTTCAGCTCCAGCAGCGCCGTCCTCTGCAGACGTCTCTGCTGCAGGATAAATGGATGTCAGTCAGTCAGTCAGACAAACAGCAGCCCTAAACCTCAGCCTAATCTGACAGACTGTCCTCAGGTTTGCTGAAGCTAAATCTGCTCTGAGACGACATCCTGACCTCGTGTTGTGGTATTTCTCATGTTTTAACAGATCAAGGAGCTGTTCGCAACCTGATGACCCTCCTTTCCACTACGCTTCGGACTCACTGTCACTCTCAGTCTTTATGATCAAAGCGTGACTCGACCCGGCCTGGACTGGAGCTACTGTGACTAATTCTTACAAGCACAGAGAGACACTAGTTTCCATTCTGGTCAGGTGAAGCAGTGACTGTTCAGTGTGTAACAGGCTCTTACTGCACTGTGTTTGCAGTGACAACACAGGCACCAGCAGGCTGCACATATCAGGAAAAGCAGGTTTAAAGCATTCATTAGCAAACAGAAGCAAATTCAAACCAAGACAAGCTGAAAGTAACAAAACGGTAGAAGTGAGGTGGAAGAAAATCAGCAAAGTAAGATGAACGTTTCTTCGATTATGTCTCTGAAACAAAAACAAAGTTATTTGCAAAAGAGGAGAAATTAAGAGCAGATAAACTGAAACATGCTAAATGAGGGTTAGCCTGGGTTCATGAAGTCTTTGGTGTTTTAAGCGTCGTGACTTGAGGAGTGCAGGAGAGCGTACCAGGTTTCACCGCGTCCTCACAGAGTTCAGACACAGGTTTCACCCCGTTTTCACTGAGCGCTGCGTCATCATCTGTGAACCAAAGGTAAACTGGAGGTCAAGACGGAGCTTCACTGTGACAGCAGCTGACATTTCTGTGAAACAGTCTTAAAATCAAACGTTCATATGAACTGTGAGGCAGAATTAAAAAGGTTAAAAGTGTTTGTGCAGCTCTGTGTCAGGAAATAAGACAAGAACAAACCATTAAAACCTATTAAGAAAAAAAAGGCATTAGAACAAACTAAATCTGATACCACCTTTAACCAAATGCTTTCATATTAAATAATGTGATGACATGTTGGCAAAGAATCGTGTTTTTAGATAATAAACATGATCGACACTCAGAGGATTCCCATCAGCACATAAAGATCTAAATATCAAAGCAAGACAATCACAATATTTCAGCTATTACACAACATTACAACGTTAGAAATCCTGACATCAGTAACAACATTATTAATGATGGAGCAGCTAAATCAGCAGACAGTCTTTACAGACTCGTCTTTGCCAATTTTCAGCCAGTCTGTGTCATCGCAGTGTGAGCAGATGTACAGTGTCTGGGCTTCCCCCTGTACCGTGGTGATTGGAGTAATTTTGTAAGACCCTTGTGAGGACTTCAAGACTGCACTGAAGGTACAGTATGTAGACAGAACATCTTTTAAGGTCTGGGTTGTGTATTTGAACCTTTATTATTTCTATAATGAGACCGTCTTTCTCAAAATGTCCACTGAGACCGAAGAGATGAGTCTAATTTAATGATACAACATAATATGATACGATACGATGTGATGAGATACAACACCATACGATACGAAACAATGAGATATGATACAGTACAATACTATACAATGCGATACGATACTATACGGTACAGTATACTTTGTTGTCCCCGTAGGGAAACTCGTCTTGGGCTCAGGAGCTGCACAAGTGTTGCTGCCTAAGATAATAGTCCAGAGGAAATGAAGCATATGCCATACTAAACACATACTACTACTGCAGTTGGTTCAGATCGAGGTCAGAACATGATCTGCACCAGAATTCTTTTGTTACCAGACTGAGACCACCTCTTCAAGAAGGTCTCGGTCTGGTTGTTCTGGTGCGCACCTGAGTGTGATTGCTGTGTCACACCTGCCCAAACGAACCGCACAGAGGGGGCAAACGAACTTGAGTTTGATTTAACCAAACCAAACAGGGCAGGTGTGAAAGCAACCTAAATTTGGGCATTCAGTATCGTTAGCGTAGAGAATGTGTGAAGAGTCAGTCATATTAAATCTTCATACTGATATAGAGAGCTGAAGTTAAACCAGAACTTCTGTTTCAGAAGTCAGAAAACCTCATTCAAAATCCCACTGACACATTTACCTACACTAATAACAAAAACTAGTCCATACCCACTGAGTACAGCATACCATACCATGACTTAGTCATACCAAACATTAGAAAACAACACCAACATTGGTCCACAGGGGGAGCCACAGCGATCGGTCGCATTTTAGCCATTTTGAAGCATTTTTCTGTTGTTATAGCGCCACCCAGTTGCCAATTAGAGTTAAATTTCTCCAGTCACCTTGAGGCGTCCTGTTCTACATATCTACCAAGTTTAGTAAAAATCCATATGGCGGTTAGGCCTAGATAAGAAATGAGCTCTCTAGCGCCCCCATTTTGTTTGATGGGGTCAATAATGGAGGGGTCCCCTCAGATTATGTGTGGTCATATGCCTACAAAGTTGCGTGGTGATGGGTGAAACCCTTGAGATGTTATACACCTTTATGTGATGAGCCACGCCCTCCGCAATATTCATTGCCTTATAGAAGCTCAGTTTTAGTAAGTTTTCCAACTTTTGCCAAGAGGGAACTTTAGATATTGGTCCCTAGATTATGTTCACCCAGTTTCATGCAGATCGCTCAAACTTCCTAGGAAGAGATCCATTTGAAGTGTTTTTCAAAACATTCAAAATGGTGGAAAATCTATATAAGCGGAAGTTATGGGTTCTTGAGGCAAATGTGTTCCTCATGAGGAGAGGCATCTCTGTGCAAAGTTTCATGTCTCTACCACATACGGGGCATGAGATATGCCCATTCAAAGTTTGACATTTCAATGGGTTGCTATAGCGCCCCCCTTTGGCCAATTGATGTAATATTGCTTCATTGGCTGCGTATGTTTGGATGAGGATGTTTTTTGTGGGGCAACAAGCTAATGTTGCTTAGTCAACACTTGCTGTGGAACTGAAAACAATGATCAGTTATCACAAGTTCTACCTCCACAGTTTTTTGTAAACAGCTTTCACCGTTAAGGCGGTCTGACTTACAGGATGTAGACGTGCGTATAAGCTCACCATCGGCTGCTGATCTCAAACACAATTCTTCTTCTCTTCTGCTATCTGTGTGTTGCCATTTTTTAAACCCCCATCGATGAGATAAACTGGTCTCATACAGCCCGGCCTGTCTCCATAGTCTCCTTGGAAGGACACATCCTACCAAGGAAGGATCCTTGACTTTGAGAAACACCATCTCTCTTTCTAGCTGCTAAACACTTGCACCAACACCACGTTCAGCAGCTAGTCTCTAACTGTGTGTGTTTGCTGCTGAGCAGGTGGCGTGCAGCAGCTTTTTGGGGCGTCTTGTCTTGAAACGACACTATAAGAGCGCTAAGAGTGAATCAGGACATTAAGTTGTGGACTGGACACATAAACAATGAGCTGAAACTCAACATGAAGCTCCATAAAGACGAAAAGCTGCAGATTCAGCTGATCATGTTCTGTAGGTTCATCCCTACAAGTGACACCTTATATACATCATCATATTGTTATTTTACAGATGTTGACTGTAGCGTAACGCTGTCTCTGGGGAACGCCTCATTACTCTTAAAGTTACAAATCCAGTTGTAAGTCATGAAGCTCTCACTCATCACTGGACGCTTTATTCCAGGGCTGGTCGGCCATCTTTGACCTTTGGTAGGCTCAGTCACTGGTGTTTGTCCATTCATAAAGCCACACTGAGTAAACTCTCTTTGTGCATTAGTGCTTTATTGAACAGAGATGTGACTGTAGCTACAGTCTGAGATCTCAACACAGTTGGAGCTGGGAAGGAAAGCTTTTATACGCTCTGCTCCTCTCACTTGGTCTCTGCCTGGTTTTAAAGCTCTCCTAAGTACAAGGATGAATGAGTCGGTTGGTTCTTGTCATTGTGCGAAGGTGTTGTAATATTTCTACATGTTACTGAATATCTTTTATTGTGTTGTTGTTTGGCTGTAACTTTCTGCTTGCTGCTGTCTGGGCCAGGTCTCCCTGGTCACAGAGATGGCTGATCTCAGCTGGTTAAATATGGGTTAAATTATAATTTTTTATTAGATATTTTTTGGGGCTTTTTAGCCTTTAATGTACAGGACAGACAAGCGTGAAGGGGGGAGAGAGAGAGAGGGAGCGACACGCAGCAAAGGGCCACGGGCCGGAGTCGAACCTGGGCCGCTACGGCAACAGCCCTGCACATGTGGCGCCCGCTCCACCACCAAGCCACCGACGCCCCGAAATTATAGTTTTAAAAAAGTCAATTCCTGTTTAATTTATGGAAGAAATTACATTTTTTAAACGCAAACTCACATACTTCACTGCTCTACATTTCCTCTAAACTAACCACACGGCTAACGTTACACTACCAACACTACACTGTCCAGCTACTCAAAGAGATGAAGGAGATACTCACTCTGTGTTTCCCCGTTGATAAATGTGCGGTTTACCTCTGCGGACGCACCTGACTGTGTGTGCGGCTGCTTCCTGTTTCTACGTGAGATGATGAGAAGTGGAAACGGGGAGAACGACTGCACTAGCGAGGGCTGTAAACTGGGGAACGCTAGGCTACGTACTAATTGGCCATACGGTTGATGAGAGGGGGTGAGAGGGGAGAAACTGAAGCTGATTATTAGCTCCAACAATCTGTCTGGACTCTTTATTATTTATTTTTAGAAACTCTGCAACTGACAAACAAGACATTTATGGTCACATGACTTAATAACCCTTTCAGTCTGTGCTGCATTAAAGGCCTGATTGTTTGTGATGTGAATTGGGGGTTTACAGTGACACAGGATGGAGACAGCAGCTCGTTCTGACCCAGATGCCTGGATTACAGAGCGCAGTGCAGCTGCAGTCGGGCACTCAGGGCCAGTCAAGCATGTCTTGTATCCATTATGTAAAAGCAGGATTAAAACAAGGCACAGTTGAAGCTGCGCGGCTCGGCCTTCGATTCTGTGCAGACCACAGAGACTTTAAGGAAACTGATACAAATCTTTATAATTCACTTCTCTGAGATAAATTTAAGACCATGTTCTGGGATTAAAGCGCTGACATGAAGCCACAGTGACTGAGCTCAACTTTAACGTCTGGGCCTCAGAGTTTATCAGCTGGGTCACATGACTAGAAACATGAACCTATCAGCAGACAGAACACACACTATAATGTAGTTATGAGGACACTTTGAAGTATTTAGGAATGAGTAATGTTTAATTATAGCTCCTCAGCTTAAGACACATTTCATTTTTTTTCACAATTATGACTTACTTTTACAATTACATGAATCTAATTAACACTTAAAACTTGGAGAACTCAGTGTCTTCGTTTAAAACACTCCTCAAAACATATTTTTACAGGAAGGCTTTTTTACACTAAATCTGTAATTTATTTTTATCAGTTTTATTATTTATTTATTTCTACTCCACACTCTGATTTATCTGGTCTCAGCCTATGTTAAATGTTTTAATTGCTGTTTTTATCTTGATGGTATATACTATTTTATTTGTCTCATAAAGCAATTTGTAACTGTGTTGCTACACAAATAAAGTTTATTATTATTATTTATTACAAGACTAATTTATGGTCCATTTGTTAAGGTTGATGGATAATAGGGGTGTTAAAATAAAGTGTTACTATCAAATAATATATAATAATATATTTGCTCATAATAAAATCAGGTGCGATCCTCAGCCAAATATCATGTTATTATTCTAAAGAAAAAATGTTAATCAAATCAGTCAGTGTGTGTCCAGTCACAGTGAAGTGGAGCTTCAGTCCCAGCTGGACGAGGACATGTAACTGGCCTACTGTCCTTGTCCCAGTATACAAGCACGGGAGGGGAATCCATTTATTGAGCCAAGTATGTGCGACTCCTCTACGATAGGTGGAGATATGCCCCCTTTCAGCTTGTTAGTATTGGACCTTTTTCCTGTTGACCTATTACGTCACAGACCAAACAATGGACAAACAAGTTAGCTACGGTTAGCTAGCAGCTAACTGCTACCATGGTGGACAACTTTACAGCTCTGTACATTTGGTCCGTCCAAAAAGTCACTGCTCTGGATGTAGATTTCTCCATGTTGTTACCGGCTTCTTCTTCTCTTACACATTTAATGCTATTGGACTTCCGGGTCAAAGCCCGGGGCGGAAACTGTGGAGCATGCTCAGAGCGCCTCGGCCAGTTTGGGTCTGATTGACTGTATACATGCAGTAGTCACATGATCTGGGTGTGTTAGTCCCACTGTGACACATTCACTGCAGGATCATTTCACTCACACTGACATGTTTACAGGGATTTTAAAAGACTGGTTTTAGTCGAACTAACACAATAAATTATTATTTCTCTGATGTCATGTAAACGTACTGAGTGATTTTTATAGTTTTTGTTCCACATATTTCAATCCTCCAATGTCTTCTCTTAATTCACTTATTTCACTTAGTTCCCCGCAGTTTGCATACAGAATTCTCTTATTTCTGTCATTATTTCAGAGAGACCCAAGATGGCCCCGTAGCTTCAGGTTGATTTTCCTCATGTGGACCGTTTGCACAGCCTGTTTCTGTCTTTCTTTCATGCTTGTGACATTTTTCATTTCTTTTTCCTCCCAGAGAGAAATAAAGGCTTTAAGCTGCTCACATGCTCCTTTGTTAAATTGATTTTAAAATTCTTTCAAAATCTTTAGATTGTTTGCACCGTGTTTAGACAGCACCAATGCTGAGAGCCATCTTGTTTCCTTGCTAAGAAACAACCATGTCTGGTGGCTAAAACAGCCGCTGGAAGACACAGCGATGACTTCCTGAAACACAGCTGGTGTTGCTGTTTGTTGGTCTTGAACAGTGGTGTGTAGCTCGGCTGGCGTCTCCATAGAAGACATTTTTTTAATTATTATTATTTTGTTTATTTCAAATTTGTATAAATTTCAATATTGTGACAAATATCTATTGAAAATTATCCTTATATTTCATGCCAATAATACAAATCAATGCCAGCTTAAATCTTTACTGCGCAGGATTTACGTTACTGTTTGTGAACTTGCTCACCAGCAAAAGTGAAAGTAAAAGTCAATGTCACTCTTGTTTTGTATTTCACCTCATTACATGTGCCTTTTTGTCTCTTGGATGCCTGCTGCATACAGTTTGGCATCTGGTTCCTACCCTTTTATAAAGCCCAGACCTCACCTGAGCACGGTGGAGGTGCACACCTATAAACGTCCCTAACACAGGAAATAAGAAGAAAATCCAGGCCCTGCAGATAAATACATACACCACACACTTCAGGTGGGTCATAAGTGATGATTGAGAGAGCAAGTTAATATCTAATGATCTACTGTTGGTCATGTTTGCATGGTATGATTATTTAACCTTTGTGAACTTTTTGACTATTGTTTGGTCATTTGAGTTGTTTTAACAAATGCAAATCAGTAGTATATGACACAAACTGGCATGTAAAGGGTTAATATTTGATTCAATCATGATTTGAAAAACATTTTAATAAAAAGAATGAAACAAAAACCCTGGAGGAACTGATCAAAAAAGTCATAATGGGTGGCATTACGTATTTTTGTCATAGGAGGAATTTCAAAGACTTTAAAATCTGACATTGCACTCAAAATAAATAAACAAATAAATAAGATGCACCAAAATCAGTGTTGTGGGTTATGATTGAGCTTTGTCAGACTGGGATAACAATAATAGAATAAACGCATGACCTGTTATTTTCTTCAAAAAACTTGATATGTTTTGTTTTAAACAAATGTGAATCAGTGGTATATGACACCAACTGGCATGTAAAGGGTTAATATTTGATTAAAAAAATACTAAAAGCATTCTAATAAAAATAATGAAATGACAAACCCTGGAAGAATTAATCAGAAATTTAAAATATGACATATGATCCTTTGACACAAAGGTGAACATGTTTATTTTCATGGGCTCTCAGTATCCATTCTAAACTTCCCTCTAAGCAATTGAAATATTAACTTGTTTTCTCTTGGACGTGATTTCTTGGATATTAAATGCATTTGTGTTGCAGCTGCACATAGATCAACAATATTAAAGCGTATTATTGTCACCCTGTGGAGCTGTGCTCCTCAGGCTGGAGAGAAAACTGTGAACAATCTGTTGTAACCTTGGAAACTGTCGACAGTTTGTCGGCTGGAAACTCAAATATTATTCATACGAAATTAATGTTGTGTATTTTTAACAGTTGACTGATGAGACGCTGGTTTTATTTGGTAAACTCCTGTTTTAGATCCTGTCAGGACATCAGAGCTGAGCCATGATGTAATGATAAGAAGATAACACCAGTGATGTCATTAGGATTATGTCATAGAGTTCAGGCTGACAACAACACTGCGAGAAACAACCGAGGCTCCCGCAAAAAACAAAACGTGACGTCATCCATCAAGGTGCAGTGTCGGCCAATCAAATGTGTTCAAACGATTTAAGGTAGATTACTTTGTAATATGAACGCCGTATTTCTGCTGTTCACCTCTTACTGCTGCAGTTCTGCGTCTGCTAAACCTGCAGACTCGTGATTCTGTTCCTCAAACTGGAATTCCTGAATAATATTCCATCATCAGTTATTCACTTATTCTGTATCACATGTGTGTGTTATCACAAATTTGTTGATTGCATCAACTGAGGAAGCATCTGTGTGTCCACCACGCTGGTGTGTCTGCATTTTGGCTGTATTTTTGCAGTCTGAGGATCCTCCTGAGGAGCTCCCCCTGAGATTTCTTCCATTTCTTCCCAGTTAAAGGCTTATTTGGGGAGTTTTTCCTTATCTGAGTTGACACAGTGAGGACAGAGGGTGCCACGTGCTGTACAGACTGTGAAGCCTTGTTATTGTGTGCTATATAAATAAAACTGTCTTGACTCATGTCTGACCTTTCATTTTGGCGTCTCCGGGGCTTCTGTGTCCCATCTGGACTCCGTTCTCCTGGTGGTGCTGGTCGTTGATGGTCATGTTGGCTAAGGAGGAGCTCATGGTGTCTCCAGAGCTGTAGCTGTTGGAGGTGTTGTTCACGTAGTCCATTGCCAGTCGCAGGTCAGGCTGCAGAGGAGCAACAAAAAAAGGTCAGGGCAGAGTTAGTCCAGGATGTGTCAAATGACAGATAACAGGTTGTACATGCAGAGCAGCTGACCAGGATGAACACCTGGTTTTAAGGATTAAATATGATGGCGCACTTCATGGACACTTTGTCTTCCGGCGTGCAGAGCCCAGTCCGTCACCACCAGATGTAAACAGACACTGAGTCAGTGAAAACCAGTTATTTATACGTCCTGACGTGGGGTCGGCGCTTCATGTTACAGCCTGACTGACAAAAATAGTCCCTGCTGCCCATGTGCACGCCGTCCTCACTGTCATTAGCTGAACTTCCTAAACAACCACCTCTGAACAAGTGTGTTTCATGTAACCGCCACATTTCAACACTATTATCACCATCATTAACACGCTGATACTCAGAGAGGGAGGAAGCATTCAGATGATTCACTGTAGTAACAGCACTAACACCACTCTGTGGAAATATTCTGTCACAAGTAAAAGTCAGTTGAAAAATCTTCTCTGTGACTGTCACACTATTATTTATTATATCATTAGATTATTGTGACTCATACATTAAAGCTGGGATACGCAGTTTAGTTTTGGTGTCACTGGGCCAGAATCCCATAACAAACTTTAAGCATATTGTAATTCAAGTGATCTGAGAGAACATCAGACTTCTGCACCTCCTCTTGGCTCTGTTTTCATGTTTTAGATAATCTAGCCTGTGACAGGAGACTTTGGCCAGTCACAGGTCATTTCAGAGAGAGGGCGTTCCTATTGGCTGTTCTGCAAATGCAAATATTTGCGCACATCCCTTCAGATGGTGAAAGTCTCTCAGAGATGAGAGAGTATGTACCTAATAGTTCATCCTTCTGCTAACCGGAACTAAAGGCTCAAACTCATGTTTATGTAGCTAACAATGGCTAGAGACTCAAATCACAGTGTGTCATCTGCCTCACCCCCCGAGGCTATAGACCGTCTCAGTGGGGGGGAGCAGACAGCTGATCCAGAGAATGACCCTGAATCAGCAGCCACAGCGACCCAAATCCAGCCAGCATGAACCCCGAATACGCCCCAGCTCCCCACCAGATCAGCAAACTTTCTGTTGCTGCTGTTACACAGGTCAGACCTAGTGCTGCAACTGGACACCTGCCCACTGTGACACCACTGCGGGGTTTGCTCTGGTTGAATTCCAGCTGCTACAGCCGCCAACCGAAGGTCCGTCTCCTGAGCTACTGCCCACGCTCCTCCAGTAGAAGAAGGCCACAGGGAGTGAGATGGAGAGACCGAGAGGTGGCTAGCAGCTAATTCTTGTCTCATTTGTGGTCTGATAAACAGAGTGATCAAAGTATGGGAAACACTTGGTTAGTGTCATGCATTTGCCCATGGTCGACTGGTGGGAGGGGCTTATGACAGGAAGGGAAGACATTTTTGGGGGGTCTTTTTTATTTCTCTGCCTACACCAACTTTACTGGATTTTGCTGTTGTAGTTTGTTGAGGTGGAGCTCATTTTGAAATGTTAGCCAATGATTATTTTCATTTTGGATTAATCTGCTGATTATTTTCTTTTTTTGTTTTATTTGTATAAACTTTTGGGTAGTTTAATTTATCATGAAACATTTTATAAACTCTATAAATGTCCTGTCTGCAAAAAATTGTATTGTAAAGTAACTGCTCTCAAATCTAGAGTCAAATAAATGGAGTAAAAATTACAATATTTTTCTCTGACATGTAGAGTAGAAGTATAAAGTACCTGAAATTTGTACTTAAGTACAGTACTTGAGTAAATGTACTTAGTTACATCGCCCCACTGCTGCTAATAGTGTGCACCATACCACAGGAAGTAAACCTTAGAGTCTCGACACCCTCCTTCGACCAGCGAGATGTGAACTGCGTCAAATCTCATAAAAAGAGGATTACACATCAGATTAAACACAAGCCTCTGTTACATCAGCAGTTTTCACTTTGAATCATGTTTTTTTTCACTGCCCTCACACACACACACACACACACACACACACACACTGAGCTAGGGCGGAGAGCTTATGGCGTAATCGGTCTCGGCATCCAAACTGCTCTTTCCATGTTAGTATGGTGAGGCAGATTTGTCGGCTTCTGATCTTTATTTTCGCCCTCATGCCCACTTTGGCACAAAAACATGACTCTGTTTAATCTCTCAGAGGCGCTGCGTCAAGCTTAAGACTGTTCATATCATAGTGTTAGTTTACTATGAGTTCACAGAATTATCATCTGCCACTAATATGTAGATATGGAGATCAGTCTGCATCGATGAAGAGTAGCTGAAGTAACGTTGCTATTCTGTCGGAGGTGGAAAGTAGATTTACTCGAGATGTGTACTTAGGTTAAATAGACACAGACTTGTGCTTTACTTGAATCTTTCCTTTTTATGTTTCTTCGTACTTTATATTTCAGAGGGGAATGTTGTACATTACAGGATGGCTTTGAGAATGAAAGGGGGAGACAGAGAGGGGATGACATGCAGCAAAGGGCCACAGTTTGGAACTGAGCCCACGGCCACTGCAGCAAGGACATGGCCTTTTTACATGGGGCATCCACTCTACCAGGTGAGCTGGTGGGCGCCTGAAATATTGTCCTTTCTGCTCCAATAGATTCATCTGACAGCTGTAGTTACTGCCTTCTTCACAGACTGGGATTTGTACAAAATTAAATATAAAGCGTTTATCAAATACAGCACATTATGATTAAACATGCACCTCCTTACCATTTTGACATACAAAAACAAAAACAAAACAAACAACAACAACAACAAAACAGTGTGTAGTTGGGCCTCTTGTCAAGACATCTAAAGTCATTTAAACTGTTGGGGGAAAAATTCTCCAGTATTTCATAGAAAAATAACAGATGAAAGAAATATACAAAAAACATAAATAAATAAATAGATAAATAAATAAATATAAATTTGTGTATCAGAACTGAGTTTCTTCTTCTGTCCTCTCTTATTAATCATCTCATGACCCCTCAAGTTCATCTGGTGACCTTTTGAAGGGGCCCGACCCCCAGGTTGGGAACCACTGGGCTAAAGTGTGCCAAGTACACAACGTGTTTTTGCCAAGAAGGAATTGTTCCTGGACCAAAATGGCGATCAACTCATCACAACCCTCTGACATCATTAGTGTGCTGCTGCTGTGCTTCTTCAGAACTAACCTAGTTTTCCAAAATGAAGCTGAACAAAATCCTTATGAGCTACTGCAGAGTCAGCAAATTAGCTTGCTAACTAGGTAGGCTATGCTAACTAGTAAGTTTGCCAGTAGGCTAGAGAATTGTTAACAAACAAAGATTAAGGATGATGTTATATTTTCAGTAGCAAATACCTGCGCTTAAAACAATTTCCCTTCTTTTTTATAGCTTATTACAAAAGTTTTAGTTTTGTTATGTTTTAAAAAATACTGGATAATTTGTTTATGTCAACAGTAACATGGCAGTGATGGTCCTGGATCAACACAAGTACTGCAATCGTGCAGGAAAATTGTTTTGAATGGGCTATGAAAAAAGGAGGGAAAATGTGTCCATTACAACTGCAAAATGATAGCAAAATTTTAGAAAGTAAAATTAAACAGCATCAGAAACATTAAACAATCCTGATAAGCTACTGCAGGGTTAGCGAGTTAGCTTGCTAACTAGGTAGGCTATGCTAACAAGTTAGCTTGCTAATAAGATGGAATATTGTTCACTAACATTAGAAGTAAGGATAATATTTGCAGTTGCAATGGACACATTTTCCCGACGTTTTTCATAACACATTCAAAACATTTTTTTGCAAGACTGCAGTGCTCATGTCGACCCAGGACCATTAGCTACTGCTGCATTGTTGTTGACATAAACAAATTATCCAGGGTCACATGACAGTGTGGTCCCAGATCAGCACAAGAACTCCGATCTCAAAAAAGAAAAGAAAAGAAAACCTTTTTAAACAGGCTATAAAAAAGGAGGGAAAATGTTTTAATCTCAGGTATTTGCTACTGAAAAAAGTATCCTTAATCTTTGTTTAACAATAATCTAGTTTACTTATTAGCATAGCCTACCTAGTTAGCAAGCTAACTCGCTAACCCTGCAGTAGCTCATAAAGATTGTGTTTCTGAGGTTTTTGTTCAATTGTACCAACTCCAATTTGGAAAAATAGCTTAGCTCAGATCAAGGCTAAAGAATTTGAAAAAAGCACACCAGCAGCACACTGATGATGTCAGAGGGCTGTGATTGGTTGACTGCAATGTTGGTCCAGGAACACATCCTACTTGTGAAGCTACAGCAGTAACTGTAATAATGTATCAACCAATCAATCAATCAATTTTATTTATAAAGCCCAATATCACAAATCACAATTTGCCTCACAGGGCTTTACAGCATACGACATCCCTCTGTCCTTATGACCCTCACAGCTGATCAGGAAAAACTCCCCAAAAAACCCTTTAACAGGGAAAAAAAACAGTAGAAACCTCAGGAAGAGCAACTGAGGAGGGATCCCTCTTCCAGGACGGACAGACGTGCAATAGATGTCGTACAGAACAGATCAGCATAATAAATTAACAGTAATCCGCATGACACAATGAGACAGTTAGTTAGTAATAATACAACAGTCACAGATGACATGTTGCTGTGGTGCTATTTACACTATAAATACATAATACTCATCTTTTTAAATGCGGGACTTTTACTTGTAATGGAGTATTTTTTTCTCTTTACATAAAGGATGTGAGTCCTTCCTCCTCCACAGCTCCTCCTCTCTGGGCTCTTCCCCTCACAAACACTCTTCAGTGATGCAACCGGCTCTTTACAGCCAGCAATGCCTAAAGTGTTGCTGTGGTTACTCCACCCAATAAAACCCACTCTAAAGGCACACTTGGCTCAGCTATGTGACCTTCCCTCTGTGCACATTCATATCTGCTGACCTTGGATGTTTAAACAACGTGCCACATGCAGAGCAAACAACATGAATGGGAGAAAGTGGCAGAGAAAACACTTTTAAA